AGGTCAACAGTTTCAAATTGTGCTCTTTAATGCGGCCCGCGCCTAATCGTGTCATTTAGCGTTTAGAAGGGCATCACTAAAATTCAGCATTTAAGCTTTGGTGACTGAAATGTAAGTTTCGACGTTTAGTGTACTTCTGCAGTAACATCATTCCGTTTCTGCACAAGAGATCCGATAGTAAGACACCTTGCGGTGTGACTAATTATTGCCCGCTCGCCATGTAGCTAGTTCCATAATTTCTATCTATGCAACGACACGCAAATCTACTATGTACAGCTGTCATGTGATTAATTGAAGACCATATCGACCAAGGCGCATCGAAATCAACCTAAGGAAAGGTATAGCTAAAGCGCCAGATTAGTGGTTTGCCTGGTACAGTTGTTGGTTCATATTGTTTTCCAGATGTGGTAATTCGTACGTTCTGGTTCTTCCAAAAGCGGTCATTAATATTCATGCTTTGCTGAGATACGTAGTGCGCGGTATTTGGAGGATAACCTCGATTGATTTTTCAGAGGTTAGTGGTTTTCCATCGACTGTGCAGAGTGGATATTCCATAAGACAAAAAGCCACAGAGATGTGGCGGACTTCATATTATCTGTAATGGTCCGCATCACACACTCAAGTTGGATATTCACATTGTCGATGTGACTATCCCGGGGAGAAATATTCTTCCGCATTAAAAGTAATAGCGAAACCAACCACGTGCAACGGCTGTCTAGAGCTCTAATGGTTCAAATGCCATGAGCATCAGCATGATCTCAACTTGCGATCTGGTCAAAAGTAAGAAAAACATGGCACTTAGCTGCTTTCCTAACAAGGTGCCCGCAAAATAGAACATTCAAGGAGTAATCCATTCTACGCTTGCCGAAATGCAATGTCGACACTACATTCTTGTTTGAATAGGGTCGCAACTTCAGTAGATGGAAATAACAGTTCGTTATGGCCAGGCAGAAGTCATTCGGTTTGTTGGAAATTTATGGCTTGCATCGAAAACGTTAAGTCGCCAACACGGATGAATTTACAAGATTCAGATATATCGAATATACGCACGTTAAACAAAGACGATGTAACGACTAGTTCCTATGGCGGCCATTATTGATAGTCCACGAGATGCTG